CTAAACGATTTTGACTAAGTTTGAATCAGCTACCGCAGTTTAGCTGATATTACTAAGTCATTTTTTTACGTGTAGATGATGAAGAGATTATTAGAAATTATCTAATACGACCATTAATGTCTAAATTGGTATATTTAATAATAATTAGGAACTATCTAATTATTATTACGGACAATTAGAGGACATCTCAGTAAAATGGGAAAATCACGCGGGCGAAACTTTGCCGGAATTTTTGGACGGATAGAAAAATTAAATGAAGGATGCTGTTATGAATGACACTAATCGATATACACTGAGAGAAAAATGAACTTAAAAAAATAAAAAGTACTTATTCTACTATTTACTAATATTATTTACTTTTACTATTATACTACACGTAATATTTTACTACTTACTAATAATACACAATACATATTTACTCAAATCTAAATTCCATCATTGAAATAGAATAAACAAAATTACTTTTATAAAAACACTAAAATTTTTAAAAGAAAAGTACATTTTCTCATTTGAAAAATATATTAGTATAAGTAAATATGTTATTAGCAGTATAAGTACTTTTTATATATATATATTTCCTAAATATTTTTCGCCTCAGTGTATCTTGAGTGAAACTCTTGTGGTCTCGAGTGGCAATATTTCCACTATGGCCTCGAGCGAGAATACTGCCACTTTTCACTCGTCCTGAGCGAGTGATTTCACTCCAAGACATTTAGAGAATAGATAGTGCGTGTATAAAAACTGCGTTATCGCAATATAAAGTTCTCCCTTTCGTTTCTCGCTTTTCCCGAAATGTTGGTGCGCGGCAGGAGGAGAGAAAGAGCTCTCCTATTTGGCGCAAGGGTCAAGAAGAAAGAGGGGGATAAAGAGAGAAACGAGGTAAAATTTTCGAGTTTTCTCCGCGTGGTAAGCTTGTTATCGCCCCTTAGCGGAACGCGCATTCGCCGTGCGAACGCTAACGACACATTGATTGTATAAGGGACATTAAGTGCCGGAACTAGGTCGAAAACAAATGTACCAGGCCGACCCGGCAATGAGCTCGTCCGTATAACGCTGTTACGAACGTTAATGGGATCTAGCACTGTAGTTAGAGCCAGCGGCGCCCTGCCTTCACTTGGCCTGGTGGCCGTCTCAGCGGCGTCTCAGCAAATTGAATGAAATTGCAATTTGGAAATTAATCGTCAGGTGTCCACTTGAGCGACGTGACGTCGTCGTCGTCGTCGTCATCATCGTCGCCGTTTGGTCGCGCGATCGCGTTTACGTTATTCCGAAATAATCTCGAAAAGCGAGCCGTATCAAGGTAAAAGTATCAACATCTGAACGCTGATAACGCTGGTACCTAACTGTGGACATTCTTACTGTTTTGGTTTTTAAACACGAATATTTAAGCTTTCAAAATGTATATTATTTTTATTTTTATATGTTATATATATATATATATATATATATATATATATATATATATATATATATATATATATATTATATTCAGCATTTGCAAGATTTATATTATATTCATTGTGTTCATAGTTGAAAGTCATTTACAATTCCAAATTACTGAATCCTAATATTATTGTTATTGAATTAATTCCCTCCTTAAAATTCTCAATTACGCATTCCCTTTTGATGTTTACTTAAAGTGACTAAAAATACTACCTCAGTCAGGATATAGTATTATATAGCCTTCTGATATTTTTCGCGATTTTAAATAGGAATAAAAAATGTACAATTAGGAATTTCACGGAGGAAAAATTAATGAAATAAAAGTTGGGACTTAGTTAATTTTAGATACTTAAAAATTAGGAGTATTCAGTAATTGATATTTAACAATTATTATATGTATAATATATTGCATTATATTTAAACTTTATTATGTAATATTTAAACTTTTATATATCACTTAATATTTAATACTTATGTTACTTTATAACTTTCAAATATTATATAATATTCAAAAACCAAAACATTGAGGATGTCCAGATATTGGCATTTTCACCTTAATATCCGAATGAGAGCACAGGCTCGCTGGAGCTGCCGTTTTTGCTCGTCCTTCTTGCACTCGTCGATTTGTCAGTAATGCATGCAGCGATTGCGTGTCGGGATATAACACAGCGTCCGATATCGGCGCGCGTTGCCTCAGTTATGACATTTTCGACGGTAATTCGGCAGCATTTGATATCCGAACTCGCTGCGCGCGCGCTGTCGTTTCGCGCGCAAAAATTTGTCTGACGGATGGACGCGGCTAATGATCGAATGAATTTGCCTATCCGCGTAAGAGCGCCCTCGAGCGCATTATCCGCGATTGTCGTTATCGGCGCCAATCGCCGTTGAAATTGGTTTAGCGTTGTTCGCCTCATGAAGTGCGCATTACGACGTGCATTTGTTTCATCGGCGCGGGCTCGATTTTGTTTGTCTCCCGCCGCCTCTAGAAAGGCCGAGTATCGCGAAACCGCGAGCCGAAATTTGTAACCGCAATCGCCCGTTCCAAGTGTCGACCCTCCCTCTCCGCTCTTTCCCCCGCGATTCGCTCCTCGTCTCTGGAAATCTGCACGGGGAGAAAAAAAACGTTCGCCATTTGCGCGACTATAATTGCGCGGTGAGGTAATTGTAGCCGGGAGAGCCGTTTCTGTGCAGCAAGTCCCGCTATTGCGTTATTGATGACAACTCTGTATGCATACACCCGGGAAAAGTATATTTGTTATTTGTGGCTGTAATTACACAGTGAAATAATTATATAGTCGTGAGACATTTTTGCAGCAAGCCCCGCCACAGCTTTTTCGATGTGATAACCTCATATATATACATATATACTGAGTGCTGACTGATAAATATGTACCGAGAGAAAAAGTTGGCCGAAATTAATCTCTGTCGAGAAAGAGAAAGAGAGGTCAAGTGCGTTACTTATGACTACAATTGTAGCCATTTTCGCAGCAAAAGTGCCACAATAGTATTGATAATGATCTTATATGCGTGTATTACGAAAACGTGTCTGATGCTTGTGACTACGATTGCGTAATGAGATAATTGAAGCTGGGGAGATGATTTTTGCGCTAATGATATTGACTTTGTGTGCCAGTCGCAGCTGTTATACATTTTCCTTCGAATAACAGAAGAATATGCTTGGCGTCGAAAATGACTAAAATTTTAGTGAGATTAGCAACTTTTCTCTCTTGGTATATTGCTGCCAGCCCATGCAGATTTTCCACTGTAAATCATCGTTTTTCAGGACGGTTTACTACACGAAAATCTCACTTTATTGCACGACAACTATGCATACGATATAGTTGCAGGAATACACATTGTGCGCATGTAATGGCCATCATAATGAAACGTTGAACCTGCTGTAATTCGCGCGGTTAAAACCAGGAATTCGGAGTAAATTGTTACATTTTTCTCTCAACTGACAAGTAAATCTATCCAAAAGATACACTCCGATTTCTCTCTAATTTGGCACAAATGTAGAAGTACAAAAAATATTTAGATCACATTTTTTTCATTTTAGGTTTTACGGGCAGTTTATAGCTTTTTAATGTTCTCACTCCTATCATCAAAAAGCACAATAAAAATGTATAAGAAATAAAATTGAATACAAAATATAGTTAAATAATTTTATCGGCATAGCTGAGACACGAACCATTCTAAATTCTTTAGCCGAGATTCCAACTAAAATATTTTAAATCTGTGTTAAATTAGTAAAAAATGATTCGAATCGTGACCAAATCGCGAAATCTGGCAATTTTAATTAAAATTTTAACAAAACCGGCATAGCTGAGATACGAACCATTCTAAATTTCTTTAGCCGAGATTCTAACCGAAATATTTCAAATCTGTGCTAAATTAGTCGAAAATGGTTTGAATCTCGGCCAAACCGAGAAATTATTTGTATAAATAATTTTTTTCAACTTTTTACATGTTTTATTTAAACATCTTATTATTTATACAAATTTTTTATTTATATAAATTTATACATTTTACACATTTGATTTCATATTCATAATCAACAAACCAAAAATTCCTATATCTTGTATTCAATTTTATTTCTTATGCATTTTTGTTGTACTTGTTGATGATAGTAGTGAGAACATTAAAAAGTTATAAACTGCCCGAAAAACTCAAGTGGGCCAAAATGAAAAAATATGACCTAAATATTTTTTGTACTTCTACATTTATGCCAAATTAGAAAGATATTGGAGTGTAACTTTTGAGAAGGTTTACTTGTGAGTCAAATTTGAAGTTAGTGGCTTACAAAATTGACTAAGTTAAAAATCACACCAACTACTTGCATAATTAACTATCGTAATCGTGGAGATTAAATTTATGTAAAAATAATGGAAAGATAGTCTTTCACGAAGAAAAATATCAACGGTTATATGCTCAAGATTCTACACGAGAAAAGAACACCATAGTGCTCAGAGAGACGAAAATCAATTCTGCTACCAATATCGCTTATTTTTCTTTTTGCACGTTGTTTACAGCCCGCGATGATTTCAGTATTGGCGAATTATTTCCACTTGTATGAAAAGTAAGAAGTTAATAAGTTAATATGCATTTTCAAATATCTGGTTTAAATCGAAGGTTGACTCAATTGAAATTAACTGTTGAGTTGAAAGTTACTCGACTGTTAACTGATTAACTGATTACTGCCCAAATCTGGTCAAAACAAGGGGAAAACGCTGGGAAAATGCCGGGAATGATTGTATCTGCAGCGATTCACCGTTGTTTTTCTTTTCCTGCGTAACGATCTCGATCGCGAAAGTCGTTAGCGAGAGATCTGCGGCTGGCTTATGGAAAATAACAAATATGATTTTTCCAATCTTCGCGCATCGGTTTTCCCACCGCGACCTACAAAGCCCCGAACGGCAAATATTTCTTCCGCAATTTATTCGTGCCGTATAATTCGGCGATTTTCCGGGGGATAAGCGGACGCGCAAAACAGTCGGCGGGACGGGATGCGCGTCGAGCATGTGATCCTTCCTACACTATGGCGCGCGGGTACTTACTCGTGTCACGGCATCCTTTCAGCTCGATGCGAAGGCATACCGTGCGTCTGTGTTCCGAGTGCGGCAGGATCCGGATTTGGCTGGCGAAAATAGGCGGGATCAGTCTGTGCGACATGACGGTGGAGGTGTCGCTGTTGCCGACCAAAACCTGCGGAAAACGCCGTTGCGACGTGCGTGAGTGAAACAGATCTGGGAAATCGTGAACAATGAACGGAAAAACGCGCGAGAGGGAAAGAGAGAGAAGGAGAGAGAGGGAGAAAATAAAATAAAATTAGCGACTTCTCGCGCGTCGACCGACGCGAAAATTGGGATTTGATTAACAGCGCCGTCACTTCGCAAAATAATGAAGTCACGTTCCGCTTTTCTCTTTTCCTCTCTCTTTCTCTCTCTCCCTTTTTTTTTGATATTCGGTGTTGACGAGAGAGTTTTTTCAGGCAGCCGCGGATTCGACGGCGGTAACTTTTATCGCGAGAACCACGCGTCACTAATACGATTAAACGGATAATGGACACTCCGTCCGGAAATTTCCCTGGTACTTATAGACGTCCCTCGATTTTGGAAGCCGTTAATGTAATACCGAGCCGGGTGTACGCGCGTTCGCTCGTCCACGCAGTGCTCTATTCATCTTTTTTTCCCCCGGACGGAAATATCGGGACGTCCGTCCGGTATATGGATGTCAGCGCGTCGCGCCGGTATTTCGCCGATAATACATTTAGCGCGTCGCCGTGCTACGCTGGATATGAACTTTTCGACGGCACCGCCGGCTGTAGGACCTCCGCGCCGGATTGACACTGGCCCTAATGAGGCGTTGCGATTTCTGCTGCTCGGTTACCCGTAAAATTAAGCGCGATGCGTAACGTAACTTCGGCCCGACTCGTCCCCCGTCTCGTCTCCTCTTCTCGTGACAGTCTCATATTCGTAATCTCTCAGACGAGAAATTTTGATTCTGCTTTACATATATACACACACACGTACAACTCCGCGAATTCTATTCAACTTGGAGGATCAAGACGGTTGCACTTGCCACCGTTTTCCTCATAGTAGGTCTCAGAGAGAGACATTTCGGAATTATTCAACATTCGGTTATCTTAATATTCTATCTGTATTTAATTTCTAATAGCTGTAAATTATTTACATAGCAAATTATTTACGTTTTAAATTGGTCACATGTAAATTATTTACATTTAAGAGAGAGAGAAGCCGAGTAAGTAATTAAGTTATATAAATAAGTGTTATATAATTACATAAACGAGATATATTACTAATTGAAATTCAGAAGAAAGATTAAGCATTGTTAGAACATTGAGATAATCGAATATAATGTAATAATGAAACGAGACTTCCACTGAGATCAGCATGGGGAAAGTGGCAGTAAATTACATCCGCGCAGCGCCAAGGTAGGACACAGCCTGTACAGCGTTGTATCTCGAAATTCTCTATTAATCCTTCAAGTTCGATGGAATTTGCAGGGTTAATGCAGAATCCAAATTTCGACTCGAGATCACGTGGCTACTCGGCTGAGCGATAAGAGATTATCGAATGCAGCTGCAGCGCATTAAATCAGCGCTCGCTGCATACATTTCGACGTAAAAATGCGGTATTCGTCTTTTCGTTCCTTTCCTGCGGACTGCACGTAAAGCTGTTATCCGTTGTTGGAGAAAGAGAGAAAGAAGGAGAAAGGAAGCAAAAAATACAGAGGAAATAGGGAGGGAGGAAGGGAGGGAAGGAGCACAATTAAGAAGAAACATCGAAATCGTGCGGGGCGAGCAGCGATTTTTGCGGGCAGAAATAATTCGACTATAGGAAACGCGCGGCTGTGTCGAAGGCGTAGCGATGCGTGATTCAATCTCGAACGGGGAGCGATATTTGAGAGCACCACCGTCGCTCAAGGAGAGAAGAAACTCTCTTTCTCTTCGTCTTTCGCGCGAAAGGTGAAGAAGGAGAGAGGAGAGGGGAGAGACGACTGACTCTTGAAAAGGGGAAGTTGCACTTTTAGTGACGCTTAACCATATGTTACGGGCACGAAGACGTTACGTGCAATTCCAACACACAAGAGCAGATCGCTTATCGATTGCCGCTTCTCACTGTCCCGCGCGGGGGTGAAAGAAGCCGGAGGGGAGTGGAGGAGAGTGGGCCGCGCGAAATCGAGCTCGAAGTTGGGAATATTGTGATCCGATCAACCGTGAAACAGAAGGATCTTGATATTGTGGCGGCGGGAAGCGCCTTTTCCCTTAACGCGAATATTACTTCTCGGAGAGTTGCTATTGCTCGTTAATCCCACTATTTTTTTTTCTTGACTTTTTCCCTTCGTTCTTTCTTTTGTACGAAACTTCTCGCGATCTCGATCCCAACGGCGGATTCGCCGGCGAATTCGGGGTGAATTTTCCGCGAGCGGAGATGCCCAGGCGCCCCGATAGTTTTAGAATTACAAACAACTTAGGGAGAAGGGATTTTCGCGCGAGATACATCTCGGAGATGGGCGAGCAATCGTGAAACTGCACTCCCAGGCTAATATTTCAGAGACATAGACTTCGCTTTATACGACGGAACACTTCACCATTACTTGGAATTTTACTTTGAAAGATGTGCATTAAGGTCTTTACTTAAGGCGCCTACCAATTATAACAATCTTGTTCCATACTAAAAATCAAACAACCAAACAATCCCGAGTCATTTTTCCTCGCGACGCGTTTATAACGAAGTAGTGATTACTTAAATTATTATCGTTATCCTTATTATCGTCACACGAACATGTGCTCGCACAAGGAACGATCGGCATTTCATTCAACCATCTCCGCTGCATTAAACATCGTCGAGAAAAAGAGTGCTTCACGACGTGTTCCGACTTGAGTTCTCACAAGAAGAGGCGCTGTGTGTGATTAATGAGCGTCAATTAAGGAACATTCTGTATAATCTCTCGGGAATGGAGAATCCGACCCGGGAGGAATCTGTCCCGGAGATTCGCGCAGGCAGAATCTATCCGTTGAAATAACGAGGTCGCGAGCTGCTCGATCATTTCGCACGGCGTTCGTTCGGCTAATTAACTGAGAAGCGGCGGTTTCGGGATTGATTCGACGCGAATGAAAGTCATTCACCCCTCTTCGCGTGGGACGAGGGGCAGCGGGCGCATCAATAGATGCATCGCCCGCCGGCCTTGTCTTCTTACCTCCTTGTTGTCCCAGCGCTTATATCGCCGCCACTCGATGAAGCCGGGACGTCGATACTCCAAGGTGTAATCCTCGACGTACTCCTGACCGCGGCCGTGATCGTAACGGCCCTGTGTCTGCACACCGGTGACGACGTGGGCACCCAGTAGGTCGACCTGAAGCCATTCGCGGACCCCTTTCTCTATCTGGCTCTTTGGGCACCAGGCACCCCCGGCGGTCTCCTTCCGCAATCTGTTAGCAGAACACGTTATTAACGCGACTCAGAGGCGACAGGATCGATTGTTTCTCCTGTTCTTTAACGAAATCAAGTAAATGAAGATTTAGAGTCAAGCAAAGTAGGTATTTCAAAGCTATCTTTGATATTTAAAAATCTTGCTTGCTTGATTCTCTTGTTGAAAGATAGCGGAAATAATCGATTTTACCAACTAGTCCTGGTTTTCCCTTATCATCGCCATCAGCGTCTCGCGCTCTCGCGATTCGATGACGGATATGTCTTGCCTATATTTTTGAGAAATAATAAGAAAAATTTTGAAAATCTTGGAGATTAATTGGTATCGCATCTAAGGGCAAGCATAAACAATTTGACATTGATTCGGATCAAAAGTTCCACTTTGAAGTGTAAGCAAACGTGACGAGATCAAATGACGTTTTGAGATTAAAAGCTTCTCTTTTTAACCCTCTACAACCCCCGATATTCATTTTGCTTCTAAAAGAATAGCGTAACAGAAAGTTTGGTTTATTACTGAGATATATTTCATTTTTATTGATTTTTCTATGTTGTTCATTTCAAATTATGTATTCATCCTGAACATGTTTCCATGTCTATTTTTATTTAATATTTAACTTAAAAAACGTAGATATACACTTTTTTCGAAACTACATGGCATAATAGAAATTAATTAATTGATACTACGTACGCGTACGAGACAGATGAAGGGAGAGAGAGAGACAAATATTCTTTTCATAGGCAGAATATTTATTTCATTTTGAAGTTACCGTTGCGGCGGTGCGTTTTACGATTTGCGCGATGTCATCGCGCGGAGTTTAGTCTAACTTCATGTGCCTCTCGTTTGGAAGTTCATTTAATAATTCGAACGAACAGGAGTGATGAGTTATTCGCGAGCGCCGATCGGAGGCGCTTTGCAGGACAACAGTTTTGCGAATCGTCGTGCATAATTTACGTTCCGCAAAAAATGCGCACGCGACGGAAAAAAGAGGTTAATCGAACGGTCCCCACGCAGTTCGCAGAGAAGATATTGTGTGCGCGCTTTCTCCGGCGGGGGAGATTCTCGGACTTTTAATTTCGAAAATGCCGCGGAGTTATTTTACCGTCTTGCTGTAAAAAGTCCATCCGCGCGATTATAACGTATACAGTGTGCCGTTATTATCATGCTTACTTACTGATAATAACGCTACTCATGTAAATGTTGCGCCACAAACTATATTTTATTTTTTATCTTATCACAATTCCACTTTTGCGACAATGTGGTTGCACATAAATATAATGTAGAATTTGTCATAATTTTTTGTGTGCAAAAATTGGCAAAAGAAAGCTCATTGAATCTGCAGTGACTCACGCCCTCGTGGCAGGGCGGAACCGCAGACTTTTAATTTCGGAAATGCCACGGAATTATCGTTTTACCGTTCCGCGCGCAATTATATCGTGCAGTTCCATTGCTATCGTGCTCCCCTGAACTGCGAAGAACAATTCGCGAGCAGCCCATTTCTGGGGTTTTAAGAACTTCCATGCTCCTCCGTAAAGTATACTTAAACAGCGAACATCCGTGATTTACTCACGCTTTCCCTCCCTCTTTCTCCTCCTCTTCCTCCCGTTGACGCTTCTCACGTTTTCTCTCAATTATTTACGTTTGTGCTAAATGGCGCTAATAAAAGTCCGCGCCTCGACTGGTCGAGTGTGGCGCCTCGTGCGCTTAATAACAAACTTAACTTCGTCGTCGAGATCGAGAAGATCTCTCCTCGTGTTCCGGGCCGTCTCTCGCCGACGATTGATTTCCGGATAGCGTTTGCGCGCCGTGTCTCGCGACGTACCACTTCTCGCGCTAACTCGGCCCTTATGATAAAAGAACTTTGTCGTCGCGTTTCTCAGCGCCGCTCTTCGGCGTCGCATCGACATTCACATTATTAAGCGAATCGCGGGAACAAAGTACACGGGACGTACTTGCGAAAACTCGCTACGTGTGTGGAGTGTCAACTAGGCGAGAGTGGAGCTCTCGCTGTTAATATTACAAAGCCACGAACCGACCGAACAGGGGAGTGAGAGAGAGAGAGAAAGAGAGAAAAAATTATGGCGTTCTCTCTCACTCGCTATTGCATAATATCCCCGAGCAGAAATTGAATCTAGTGATTGTCTAGTAATGACACAGAAAAGTTGGGTCTTACATTGCTACTAGCTAGGAATGTAACGCTCACTTCTCCTAGTGACTATAATCAGAAAAATTATCTAGTATCTAGGTACAAAAAAATAACTTGTAATTATAATTGATATAAGTACTAAACAGTTCTGATATCCGATTTCTATTCAGGATTTACCGATGATTTTCTGTCTCATTACTGTGTAATCTTTTTCATCTAGCCACTATCTATGTAATTGGTATAATTATTAGATAGTCCTGACATTCAAAAGACTAAATAAGAATATTTAATCAGTCACGAGTGACTGGCTAGAAAAGTTATCTAGTCATTACTATCTAGCTACTAGTCTTGAAATCTTCTCTACTAGATACGTTTTTGTTCGGGTCAAGCTATCTTCCGTCTCGTTAAAGATTATACACCGAGGTTCCACGTTGCGAAACTTCGTTTCAATGAAAGAATAATGTCCCGCGGCCGTACTTTTTATTATCGAATCTTTATATTCTTCAACAATATACTGCGCGGAATATACATGTAACGTTGCGCGGCGCTCCTCTTTCGCCGGGGCCGCGCCTTTATGTGCCTATATATACATATATATACGTATATATTATACACTCCCGTTATGTATACGTATATCATACACTCGCACGCGCACGAGAGAGGTTCCTTCGGACCGACAATTTGACGTATTCGAAGCTTCGGGCGGTCCTCATTTATCAGGCGCGTCTGACGTCTGATCAATGACCGCCCTTACCACTGCTTTAATTATCCGCTCTTGGAACGTAATAATCCGGCGATCCGCGTGTCGCGTCATTTACATATTGTATATATTTCGCTTAATTACAAATGGCGGCGCGGTTCGCTCTCGAGACTCGCTCCTGATGGCCGGGAGACGCCACGTGGAAAATTTCTTGGCGCTTGATTCCGCTCCCTGAAGTGAGGTTTCCCCAAAAATTTCGAACTCCGCTTGGAAAATCCACGCAGATCCAGGTCGGAAATGTAATGCTTCAATCGCACGGCGTCCACGTCGGAAACTCAAACAGATCCCATTTGCTCTCTCCAATTCGTTCTCTCAAAGATTTTCTCGTGGCTCTCATTTTGCGGAGAATTAAACGCAGTTTAGGATTAAACGCAATATATGAAATGCTTTGAGTGTGTACACTTTGCGGAGTATCAATATTTAAAAAGTTTAAAGTGACATAAATATAAATATCTGTTGAAATTATGCAACGAGATTTTCCTTCTTTGATAAAACTTGTGGTGCATGTTTATTACACAGAGAACTGCTCGTTATAGTCTCTTGTCGGCAATATTTCTAAATTCAAAGGGAAAAATTAAACATATCTAGACGCACGTTTGTGCATCATTAACTCTGAAAAGATTAAACGATATCAAATATTTCTATTTTTATCTTTTTTTTAGTTATTTTATTCTATATAATTCAGAAATTGGTATCTTTCTCTTTCTCTCTCTCACACACAATGAAATTCTTTACTTGATTCTAGTTGATAGTTGATAAGAGCATATCAACTTTACTTACTAAAGGAAGAAAAGTGTAATTCAGATTCTAGATAGAGAATCTCTTTTTAAGAAGAATAGGGCTTTCAATTGGTATCATAGCGAGATAACTTATTTCGGGACAAATTTGGACTGCAGTCCCGCAAAGAAACGAAAGAGTCCTTCATCGATTTTTTAAAATTTGGCAAAATAGTCTGAGTTAATTTTCAGTTGCACCAAGAAATTTTTTATCTATATTTATTTCGGTATATTTGAGATTATTTCTCCGAATTTTTCAATTTAGAACTTTGAACTTCTGATCACGATTTACGCAGCATCTAAGAAAATCTTGAGAAATTTTTGCCCAAATTTTCGCGCTTATCGGATTTTGTTGAAAACCGAAAATAGATCGATATTCTGTCGTAATCGATTATCCTTTTGTCTCACATATTACTTATACCTCATTTTTTAATAGCACTGAAATGTACTATTAAAATATTTGCTATATTTCCAGCGAAACTTGCTACGTTTCTTAGCAAGATGGTGCTTACTAACAGTCTATTCCTAGACTACTAAAAACATACCTAAATTGAAAAGAATTTATATGAAACGAAACTATGATATTCTGTGTGTACTTCCGTGTGTCGAGGGAAAAGCTTAATTTTTTCCAATTTCCTCGTTCCGTCCGCTTCTGCATGTCGGTTAAATAAATCGATCAATCGAGCGAAAACAAGCTGTTACACGCGTTACCTCTTTTCCTCTCTTTCTCTGCCTTGAAATATCTCTCTCTCTCCCTTTTTCCGGTCGCGCGGAGTATATACAACAACCGAATTAAATCGCAGTAAAGCGCGATCGTTCTCGCCGGGGCGGAGATTACAGTTCACTTAAAAATGCCGCACCGTCTCTTCCTCGGTCTGTGTCTCTATATAAAACGTGATTGCCGCTTCTCGGGCCGAGATAGAGATAGATAGATAGATAGAGAGAGAAAGAGAGAGGGAAAGAGAGAAGCGCGATTGCGCGCTTGACAGTCGCAGGCGCGCCCGGCATGTAACTCGAAGGAAATTAGGTTTGAATAAGTTAAATTCCCGGCCCGAGAGCGTCGTCGAATCAATATCGCTGTCGCGCGCTGCTGAAAAAGCAAACTCCCGCGGATATATAGTACGGGCTAGGTGAATAGCATCGCGTTGAGTTATAAACAGAACCCTCTTTCTTTCCCTCTCCGGCACGGGCGTGAAATATGGGTGAAACCGATTCGCGAAGGAGAGCGGAAAATAATGCGTGACACACTCGCTCGCGCGATCTCGCCGCGTTGAAACGGCGAGCCGTTGGACGGACGTTGTCGGACGTGTCCTACTCGTGTTGCATTAAAACGGTTAGTGTAGCGTATCTGTTCTCCTTCTCTCTCTCTCTCTTTCTCTCTATCTCTCTTAATGTCGCGGAAAGGGGCGCGTCGTAAAAGTAATGCACTCACCGGCCATTTCGCGGTCCGACGTTCGTCACATACGATGAGGACGCAGTGATAGCTGAATCCGGTATGTCGCCTGACTCCATCCCCAAGGACTGGTTGCATGATCCTGAAACACGAGCATGTTTAAGCTCAGTGAATGCGTCGCAGCGTGCCACAGATTTCGCGCGGATTGCCCTCGTTGTCGCGTTTCTGCGTCCGATCGTGCGACACGCGGAACATTTCCCGGCAGCTAATTGGCTAATCCAGGCTGATCCGCTGCAAAAGTTATGAATTCTGTCTGGGGAATTCGCGGAGATACAGATTTAAAAGATTCTGAGGGGGAGGTCACGGGCAAACCCAATTTGCTCTTCGCGACGTTTCTTCGGGAAAATTTTCTCTGGTTTTGAAATTTATTCCATAGACTTTAAGACACGGAAGGTTAAATGCGAACAAAATTTTTGTTTGAAGCGCAGCACAAAAATGGGAAAAATGACGTTGAAATTTGAAAGAATTTATGATAGAAAGAACATTCGTCTTTGGCTTCTCATTACATTAATCAAACGATCTACATTAAAAGGGAAGAATATTTAAAAATTAAGAAATATTTATTTGATATTTATTTTATTAACAGCATATTTACTTTTTTATACAATATAAAATATGTTTCAAGGAAGAAAGCATACATTTTTTTAAATTTTAAGAATTATCTTGATTCTTTATATTTCAAATTAATTTTATACGAGTCTATATTCTTTCATCGTTTCTAGTTATGAAGAAACCAATAATTGTTTTGTGCAATAATCTAAAACAATTATGCATGTAATGATTGATGAATATCGCGCGACAAATATTGCACAACGTCTTTAATATTTCGTCCTATCGAATTCAATAATTGATCCAAAACTAAAGATATCTTATTCGATTCCGTGAAAGTTTACTGATTTGCCTGACTAAAAGAAGGATGCGAATTTCCATCTCGATTGTAGACGGACAATCCATGTCTGGGATAAAGACGGAGTTTCCAATTGGTATCGCAGCACGATAACCCATTTTGGGACAAATTTCGGCATTCCGTTCGGAGTCTGCACCGTGCCCAGGGAGATCTTGAGAAATTTCTGCAGCGAAGTTGTGTTAGCGACTCTGCTTTGCGATGGCGCGTACGTAGCTACTACGTGCGACCGATAAAACGTACCGTCCGAGATGAAGTATTAGATACGGCTCTAATGACATTCAATCGCGAATCTAAGTGAGAGGAAACTCTGATAAGAGTGAGAGTCGTCGAAAGATTTTCGATGCACGTTGAAAGGAAATACTTGAAAATTTACACGTGGGATATAAAGTTCATTTCTGCGAAACGAAGTTTACTTTTGTGAGTAAACATTTATGGGATATAAATCTAAATTCCGCGAGAAATCTTCACGTATTTCTTTCTTTGTGTAATCATTCTTTGCGCAATCATTTTAAACGTCACATTACATCCCGTCTTCCCCATGAACAGTCGTGTTTTCTTATTAAAAAAAAAATTACTGCGTCTAAAATCTCGCAACGGCTCTCGCCTGCCAAAGCTTCTTTTCATTTGAATTTCTGATAATCAGAAATTCACAATAATCCGTGTTTATTTCTGCTGAATAAGCCAAAAATATTCGATGACTTTAGAAGAGACGACGGGAGACCAGGTTTCTCGTCTATTACCTATTTCCGTTTTCGATAATTGCTTCATCGCGGCTCTTTCGAGCGATTCTCTCTCTCTGTCTCCGCGCGACCGGCCGGCTCGACAATTATTGCTCGTGATTACTCGGAATAAATTTAAGTGTTCATCAGGAGACACGAACGTCTCGCGGGCGAGCTCTGCTCTCGAAATGCAACGTTCCACACCGCGAATACGGGCCTCTCGAAGCTACCATTGCGAGCGCTCGCGATGCATTGCGCGATGCGCAGTCGTGAGGCTTTTCAAACGAGAGGAGTCGATTGAAAGAGACAATTGTGCGTGGTATCGAGCTGGTGGCACAGAGAGAGAGAGAGAGAGAGGGGGAGAGGGAGAGCAGTCTTTAAAGTTCGAGTGTGTTCGCGGGAATCACGAACGTAAACAGCAATTACGACGTCGTCGTCGACGTCGTCGCCGTTGCCGTCGCCGCAATCGTTGTTCGCGAAGTTGGGATAAGTGGCAAATGGCTGGAAGCCTCGAGGCGCATCGCCGCCGGGATATTATCCAATCGCTATACTTATTAGTCTTTCAGCGATCTCATTCACGTTTCAATTTGCGTTACGTTTACTGTCATTCGGTTGTAATCTTTCCATTAAAGTTTTCGTCGGACAACAAAAAGCTGCGCGCGCGAGCGGAACTCCCTTTCTCCCTCCTTCCTACCCTCCTGCCTCCGTCCGTTCGTCCCGGTAGTTCCCGTGGTCGTTCATCCGTGGAAAATTCGTCGCGGAAAATTCATACCGCTGCGTGTGGTGGATCAATCGCCCTGAATAAATTTATTCTGTGAGATCGAGCGGCGATCTCCGCTGTCCCGCGATTTTATTTACAATTAAGAGGGGCTCGAGCGTGCGCGCGCGCGATTGCAGTCGCGTATCGCGGATATTTCCAAGTAGAAAAATTGCCCGAGAAAATTGCTCACTAGCCAGAAACTGGCTGGGATTTATTAGACAGTGACTGTTGAGAAACTGGACAGATGAGTATTGGTCAGCAATTATACTGAGAAAAAGAAATTGTGAAATTATAGCTAAAGTTACTTTCGGCCTCAGTTATATTTTTTGGTCGCTTTAACACAAAAATAATAATAACAACATGCGAGATTATTATTATTAATATTATAGTACAATTTGACTAAAAAATGGTTTTTTGACCATAATTTGTATTTTTTGACCATAATTATTTCTTTGTTTGATAGTTACAAATGTTGAAACATTTTTCTGTCAGAATAGGCAACAAAAAATATTGAGTAAATGCTAGGCAGTTGCTGTCTAGTAAAACTCGAATAATACTGGCTTATGTTTCTTCATCAGTTACTAATCGAAAACTAAAGAAGAATACATGGTAATTAAAAATCAAGCTACAACATCTCAATAATGACTCTACCTTTTGAAACATGAGTCTTATTTTTATATTGAATAATAAAATGCAATATTTTACAATATAGAATCGGTATAGATCAATATAGAATATATTCAATATATAATCCATATAGAAACAATGAAAATTATTCGGTAGAATTTTGTGTAGAAAAAAGAAAGTTTGGTTAGAAACTGATAAAAAAACTGGCTAGTTTTGCCGTTTAATTACTGGCAAAGCAAGCGTCATCCAAACTGGCCAGAAATTAGCTAGTAACTAAAATTTCTGATCAGAATAGAAAGATCTTACTCTTTCGACTTGGGCACGTCTCATTGTGTTGAATTTAAATTCTGGAGTGATTTGCGTTGCAGTTTCATCTTCGAAAGCTCGACGAGCGAGAAGAAGATGACGAGTTGGTAGTTCCGGTAATTATCAACTTCTTAAGGGAGAGCTTCTTTTCAAAAGTGAGGAAATGACGCTAGAAGTCGGCGATTTGGGCGGGAGTTTTTAGTTTTCTTAGTTAAGAATAGTATTGCGTTTTATGAAGCCTCGTATAAGACTTGGCGAGGTAGACGCCTCAAACTGAACCGAGTTAAAATAGAAGCAAATAAATTCCGAACTGGGTTGAAATTAGGTTAGAAAGAAGTTCGCTTTTGAGCGATCTGTGGAGAACCAACCTAGCCAATTAAATAATTCCGCTAACTAATGTAATAATATTTTATGAACGTGTCTGCGCACCTCTCTATTGGCGTTGTCTTGGGTTGACTCGTCGATGCGCGGTGATTGACTCTATTCCTTATATAACGCGTCTTAATTATTACTGATGAATAGTAATATCGAATTAAGCATGTCCAAGTATTCTAAATTCGCTCACCTCCCTTACTTCTCTACCTGTAATTCGAGAATTTAGAGGGAAAATAAATTTCGAGAAAATCACACGATTTTAATTTTTTATCGCTGTGCTTAGACTTGGAAATAATTTCAAGAGACACGAGTACAAATGTTATCGAAATTAATATCCCAGGTTTCACATGACTGAGCGATTTAATATCCCGAGAAAAATATTAAATCATTCAATCACGTAAATTCGGGTCAGCAAGAGCTATCGCAGGTTTTTTGGCATGACAATTTAATCCGCGAGAGAATAATAATATTTCTCGAACAAACGATACGTTCTTCAGAGTTTTTCTGTCTGATTTAATATTGATATTAATTAATATTCACTACGTCAAGGTTGAAAAGGTCGGTTTGACGGCGCTTCAAAGATTGCGAAAATTCTACCACGCTTATCGTTCTCCTTGAAAAATTATCATTCGCCTGCGAATTAAATTGTCACGTCAAAAACCCCACGGTGGCTCTCAATGGCCTGATTTTACGCACTTTCAAACACCGCAGGGTCTTTAAATATTAAGTTAGTCAACAAGCTCGATTTTCTGTCCCTATCGAACCCTAAACCCACCACCTATGAAAAGAAAGCATAAAGAAGACAGGCAAATTCTGGAAAAATGTTATTGGAGGATCACAGACACGGGTGACGATAGATTATTGGTGGACGAGAAATTCTTTTTTGTTGAATGCAATAAAGACAAAATATGAGAAATCAAACCAAACTATTTGACTGACTCAGTACTCGTTTATATCGTTCAGTTTATGACGCGACAAATTCTACTTATTAGGCAATTTATTTGGAAAAGTTGGACATGTTTTTATGAACAGTAATGAAAACGCATGCTTCATATTTAATGAAAATATCCTATATTCATCATATATCCCATCCTTGGCATTTCCCAAGCAATTGTCTGACTTCAAATCTATAAAATGACTTATCTTTGGCAAATCGTGTTATGTTTGTGTGAAAGTATCTGTCATCGATATTCAGCATTATTTTCAGCACGATATTCATCTACTACTTTTCCAGCAATTGTCCGATCTAAAATCTGTAAAATCTTTTGATCCAATGGAATCAGGCCGACAATGCGACGAGTTTTCGTCAAATTCCAACAATGCGAATCCAAATTTTAATTGCACCCACGACATAGACACACACACACACACATATATACACATACACA